TTCTTTTCAAGCATCGCTTTTCTTAATGGAGATTTTAAGAGAGCAATTACTCTAAAAAGTCGACACTGTGCCACCTTTCACTTGTAAGAAAATAGATTACCAAAACGTTTTAAAGATTATCCTCTGCATCACTCCTCAGGTGCTTCGTAACACATTTTTCTGGAAAAAAAAATAAAGAAAAAAACCAGAAAAGGGGGGGAAATCTGATAAAGATTCATGAGGATTTTAAAAAATGTTTATAGCTTTGGTTTACAAAGGAAAATTCAAGAGCAAAAGCCCCCCCCAATAAATAACAATAAATTAAAGTGACATCTTTCTGAAATAGAGCTGGAAGGGACCTTGGAGGTCTTCTAGTCCAGCCCCCTGCTCAAGCAGGAGAACCTATTCCATCTCAGACAAGTAATAATAATAATAATAATAATAATAATAATAATAATAATAATAATAATAACAACAACAACAACAACAACAACAACAACAATAAAGTTGGAAGGGACCTTGGAGGTCATCTAGTCCAACCACCTGCTCAGGCAGGAAACCCTATACCATTTCAGACAAATGACTGTCCAATCTCTTCTTAAAAACTTCCAGTGTTGGAGCATTCACCACTTCTGGAGGCAGGTTGTTCCACTGATTAATTGTTCTAACTGTCAGGAAGTTTCTCTTTAGTTTCTCCTTAGTGACTGTCTAGTCTCTTCTTAAAAAACTCCAGCCCATAATTTTTGAAGGCAAGCTGTTCCACTGGTTAATTGTCCTCACTGTTAAGAAGTTTCTCCTTAACTCCAGGTTGCTTCTTTCTTCGATCAGTTTCCAACCATTGTTTCTTGTCTTGCCCTCTGGTGCTTTGGAGAATAGTTTGATGCCTTCTTCTTTATGGCAGCCCCTCAAATACTGGAAGACTGCTATTATGTCACCCGTTTCTTCTTTTCTTTAGACTAGCCAAACCCAAATCTTGCAGTTGATCTTCATACGTTTTAGTCTCCACGCCTTTGATCATTTTAGTTGCTCTTCTCTGAACTTTTTCCAAGGTCTCAACACCTTTTTTGTAGTATGGTGAACTAGGGTTTTATAGTACTGGGCCTAAGACGGAGCCTTGTGGTACCCCACTGCTCACTTCTCTCCATGTGGATGTAGTACCATTGAGGAGTACTCGTTGAATACAGTTTGTCAGCCAGCTACAAATCCATCTGGTGGTGATGTTCTCTAGCTCACCTTTTTTGTCAAATGCCTTACTGAAATCTAAGTATTCTATTGTCCACAGCATTTCACTGGTCTACTAATTTAGTCACTTTATCAAAGAATGAAATAAGATTGGTTTGGCATGATCTGCTGTTAATAAACCCATGCTGGCTACTAGTTATAACTTTGTTTGCTTCTAGTTGTTCGCAGGTCTGTTTTTTGATTATCTTTTCCAGGATCTTCCCAGGTATTGATGTTAGACTGATTGGTCTGTAGTTTTCTGGGTCTGTTTTTTTCCCTTTCTTGAAGATGGGAACCACATCAGCCCTTTTCCAATCCTCAGGTACTTCCCCAATACTCCAGAGGAAATAAAGGGTTGTTCTATATAATAATAAAAGACATATGGCCACTGTAGCCACAAGCCACAATAGATTACTAATTTTTTGAATCTTTAATTTAAAAAAAAAAACCTCTCAAAAACTAAAATTCCGAGCAGAATACTACAATTTTTAATTGCCTGATTTTCAGGATAAGACGTCCAAGCAACTTTCAATATAGGCAATATAAGCTTACATATCTAGAATCCATCTCAGCAGATGGTGGTTAAAAATGTCCCAAGTAACCCAAACATTACTTATATGTGATGATTGTACCTTACTGTACATATTGATGACGGATCTTTTTCCCGTTTTTCCATCAAACAGGCATGGCTAATTAATACCGAAAACATGACAGCCATTTTGAGAACTACTACTGCAGATAGGATGAGCCGGCGAAGCAGCACCAGCATCCGTGATGGTAACTTATTGGGGAAGGGAGGTCAGCACTGATTTTGGGGAAATGGATTTGCTTCCTTCCTATATCGTCTTTGAATTAAAAGTGGGACAACTCTGATTTTTGTTATCCCTCTTAGCTACTGCATTCTTTTATAATAATAATGGTTTGTGATTTCAATAAAGGAGAATATTTGTAGCTCAGGGTTGAAATGAGAGGTCCTTGGTGCTCTCTGAGCTTGCTTGTTTTCTTGCAGACATTTCATTACCCAAACTAGGTAACATCATCAGGGCTAGTCAGTTGGCTGTCTGTTTACATCAAGGGTGTCAATCTGCCGGCCTGCAAGCCGGATGCATCACATAGAAGCTGCACCCACCCCAGCTTCGGCAAGGGGAAAAAAGTCACGATACATCATGACATGTCGCGTGATGTGGCAAGTTTGACACCCCTGGTTTACATTATATTATATTCTAGAATTTAAACTAACAGCAAACTGCACTCCTTACCAGCACTGATGATGTTACCTAGTTTGGACAATGACATGCCTGCAAAAAAAAAACAAAAAACCAAGCTCAGATTTGTGATTTGCTTAATTTGTACTGTAGGGGAGGGAGTTTTGGATTTAATTCAAGGCGCCCCATAATTAAAGGACTACTCATTCAAGCATGATATCTTTTTATGGACCATTTCTGTTTTGGTCCACATAGATATAATGTTAATGATAGAATCATGATGAAGAAGGAATGTGCAAAGAAGTGGAAATAAGCTGCAAAGGGAACTAGCACTGCAATATTTGATTTTGCTTTGTAAAATAGTGTTAATTCTTCAAAAGCTAACTATTTTGAAAACAGCACGTCCTGTCTTGCATCTCTATCTCATTCCATTTTTTCTGTCACATTTTTGGAACTAGGCAATACAGGTAATCTCCGATTTACAACTTTTTGTTTAGTCACAACAGCACTAAAAATGTGACATGATCATTTTTCACACTCACAGCTGTTGGCATTATCCCCATGGTCACGTGATCAAAATTCAGACACTTGGCAACAGGTTCATATTTAAGACAGTTGCAGTGTCTCAGGGTCATGCAATCCCCTTTTGTGACCTTCTGACAAAGTCAATTGGGAAGCCAGATTCACTTAACAACCTTGTTATTAATTTAAGAACTGCAGTGATTCACTTAACAACTGTGGCAAGAAAGGGGGTAAAATGGGGCAGATCTCACTTAACTGTTTCACTTAGCAACAGATATGTTAGACTTAATTGTGGTCGTAAGTCGAGGACTACCTGTATCCCACATCCAGTGCTATTTACTGCTTTCATTAATCTTGATATAACACCAAAGTATTATAAGGTACCCCCTTTTTTGGTCCATTGTGTAATATGGTGGGTAGTGGGAGGAGTATTCAATTGTATTTGGCTACCATTGTGCACCCATCACCCCACAAATCCTGCTATACTGCATCAACATAGGTGAGGCCGGGAGAGTTGAGCGAAGAATGCCAGGAGCCTAAGCCAGAATATAAGATCCCAGCAGGATTACCAGCAGTGTCAAGCTGATCCCTGTTGACCAGTTAAAGCAGTCAGGCACTTATATTCAAAAGAAGTGATATAAGGAGATCCTGGATGCAAATGAACTATTTAGTGACAACTAAATTGACCAACAACCAAAATAACATCTCTGTACATGAACATCACCAAATGGGATACAGGTAGTCCCTTGACTTACAACCATTCATTTAACGACCAAAGTTACAACAGCACTGAAAAAAGTCACATGACCAGTTTTCACACTTGTGACCATTGCCGCATCCTCATGGTCAAAATTCAGATGCCTGGCAACTAACTCATATTTATGACAGTTGCAGTGTCCCCAGTCAGGATCCCTTTTTGCGACCTTCTTACAAGCAAAGTCAATGGGGAAGCCAGATTCTATTAACAACTGTGTCAAGAAAGATTGTAAAATGTTTCTTAATGTCTTACTTAGCAACAGAAATTCTGGACTCAATTGTGGTTGTAAGTCGAGGATTACCTAAATCCAGATTGACTCTATTATTATGGTATACAAGGACTCAGTTCTAACACCAAAGACTTGGCCAGGGGCTGACTGAAACAGGTCATGAATTGCTCATATGCAAGTACCAAGTAAAGCTGAAGCAGCAGAAGAAAGTCAATCCGTTTCCATGATCTTGAGCACACAACTACCATTTTCAAGAAGAACATCAGGAATCATTTTGAGGTCCTGAGCCTCATTGATAGGGAACTAAAGGAACCCAGGAATGAAATCAAAGTTATTAAGGAAGAATGTGAAAAAGGACTGCCAAAGATCAAGAATTAGGGAAAGAAACCCCAAACACGCACAACTACCAGCTTTAAGCAATGACAGGGAAGACACTAAAATGAAACATAGCTAGGTCTTCATTCAGTTTACGTCCGTGTGCATCAGCAAGAAAAGGGATCGGGGGGAAAAAAACTGTTGGCAAGAAAGGAAACGGCAAAGCCTCTGTACTTCTGGTGCCCTTTCGCCCTGCTATTTGTAAAAGGGTTGAAAAAAATACACTGAATTGTACTTTCGAACCGATGTCCAATTCGAATCGCTTCCTTGCTCATGAGTGCTAATCCAGCCTGAAGATCTAAACCAGGGGTAGGCAACCTCGGCTCTTTTATGACTCATGGACTTCAACTCCCAGAATTCCTGAGTCAGCCATGCTGACTCAGGAATTCTGGGAGTTGAAGTCCATGAGTCATAAAAGAGCCGAGGTTGCCTACCCCTGATCTAAACCATCCCCTCTCCCCGTGTTAATCTGATTACGATTCCCGAAACAGGAAGAGAAAGGGGCATACTTACCTCCCCAGGGGAGCTTCGATCAAACATTCATATTGTTTTTCCCGCAAGTCCTGGTGCTCAACTGTCCCTTAAAAGCATAGCATTTATTTTGTGCTGCATTTAGGTCGTCGCGCACAGTATGTTACCACGCAAACTCAACCTTTTTCTTTCTATAATCGCCGAGGTTTTTTTTTGGGAAAGGTACCTCGTTTACAAATGGTTCTTCTGAAAACAGCTGCGATTGAAAGGAAGCTAGGACTAGCTCCCCCCCCCCTCCCTTCTGGCACCGTCCATTTCCTTCCGCGTTGCACCCTGGGACTGGTAGTTTCCCGTTTCCCGCCTGTCCATTTGCTCCTTTATTCCGAAGTACTGCAATCCCGTGATGCCGTTTCGTCGGCGAAGGCAGCGCGTGCGCCGTTGAAGCTGAGGAGAGGCCTTAGCGGTCCAAAGCTTGTTTGCGCCCC